CATATTTTTGTTTAACTTTGTCTGTGCTTCGCTGAAATTACAACGACTTGTAATTTTCCTTATTTGCGCTTCCTCTGAACGATTTCCGGCGGGATCGCCCTTCGCACTAGCAACTACATACCTACCTCATGTGTCGCTGTACCAGGGAAACCAACTCTTGGGGACTTCTACCAACAATGTAGCAAAATATACAAATTTTTTTTTTTAATAAGGAGATATCTATGGGGGAGGGAATTTTACGAAATTTTGGACGGGGGAATTTCATTGTCGAAATCGGGGAATTCTCAAAAATGAGTTGGCTACCCTGCGCTGTGCCCACATTCGTCTGATGGCGGCTGAATGCAGAAAAAGTAGCCGAGAGAGACAAATAGCCATTGGTGGCTGCTGTGAAGGCGAAAAACGAGTTTAAGGCGAAAACTGCTGGAAGCACCCACAAACGTAAACAAGTCTCTAATTCTTGGCAATACGCACACACTTCGCAATGAATTTGCAATGCTCATACATAATTGTAATGGGTAGAGTGCTTCTGCCCTCCGAAGGTCGCCCATTCGACTACAAGCAGTGTTGCCAGAAAAAAATTTCGTTTGGAGCAAAATCATTCGAAAAAAGAGCTAAAAGAGGTAAATAATACTAATAGCAGCTAAAATGAAGAACAATTTTTTTTTAAGTTGAGCATATATTGACGTAAAGTTGCTTTTACATTTTCCGCAATTTTAATAAAAATAACGAATATTATAAATTTAAGTGTTACAGTCAATAAAGCCAAAGGCGTTTTTGCATTTGTAAGGCGATGGTCAAAAGAGTTCAAAGATCCTTATGTTACAAAAGCTCTTTTTGGGAGTTTAGTTAGACCTATACTAGAATACGGATCTATTGTTTGGAATCCCCGCTACCAAGTTCATTCAGAAAGGATTGAATCAATTCAAAAACAATTCTTGCTTTTTGCATTGCGTAATTTTAACTGGGATTCAGATTACAATCTCCCCCCTTACACAAGTCGTCTAAAGCTCATAAATTTGCCTACACTCGCAAGTCGTAGAGAAATGCTGGGTATAATATTTATCGTAAAATTAATGACAGGCTTGATTAATAGCCCGGCCCTCCTGGCTGAGGTAAATTTTAATGTTCCTTCTCGAGTGTCAAGACACTTTCGACCTCTTATTTTTAAAGCCATGCAAAACTAATTTTGAACTAAACGAATCATTCCGTCGATTTTTTACTATAAAGAAAACTATTATTTCCACTCTCAGTAATTGAAATACTATCTTTAGCATATCCAATCAGCTGATGAATTTGATTCTGTAGCTGAATAGTTTTAGATCTCGACACTTAACAAACTCCTGTTTCCACTACTCGGCACGAAAAAACTAAAAAAAAAAAAAAAAAGGTTCCGTACGTCAAGCGGACTGCGCCCCTCGTGTCGGTTGGGCGGGAATGGAGGGTAAAAAGCCGTTGGGATTAATTAATTAATAAAAGTGCTGAAAAAAACTTTTACAACCAAAATAGGGTGCATATACTATTTCGAATTCATTGCTACGGCACATAAATATAACACTTATATGTATGCATGTACTTATATAACTAGACGATGAACTAAAGATACTTCTACAAACTGTTAAAATCTGCACTTTCAGATATTTGAATTGACTCTAAATATTCGGGTTACGAATAATATTTTTCCGAAAAGTTTTATTTCCTTCTCTCCTCCTGGCTCCACGTGGTAGAAAGTAATCGACTTACTTGCCCATTTTCCATTTGCATACGTGCCATTTTGCATTAGGAATGGAAATTTTCTAAGTATTAATCGAAATAGAATAACATGAAGGTATCGAAAATAGCCCGATATCACAAAAGCCAAATGAATTTTAGTCAACACTTGTACAATGATTTTCAATTTCAATATATTATTAAATACAACTAAATCTTTCTGGAGCTAAAAAAGTGCTAGATAATTTTGAAAAGAGCTAAAAAGGAGCTAGGAGCTAAATCTCAATTTTCGGAGTTAAATAGGGAAATAAAGAGTTAAAACTAGCTCTAAAAGCAGCAAAATGGCAACACTGACCACAAGTGCCGGGCAATTTAGTGAGTCAGTATGTCTGGAGTGTGCTTTTTCCTTTGATGCTAACCGCCAAAAACCATCGGCTAGCTTCTCTCTTCAACAGCATGCCGCCAAATTGGCGACAGTAAAAATTATTTGATTTTGGTTGAGTTTTGATTTTTCTCCTCCTACATACATACATATACCCAGAAGACAATATATGTAGGGTTTCGTAAGTAGAGGCGTTTTAAAAGACATTCCCAGGAAGGGCTGAAATTTGCGCTTCCCTACATTACTTCTAGAAGGGCTCTCCTTCCTAGTTTTACAATTAACGCGAATATGTAAGTTTATATTATTTAGTAGTACAAATGAATTTCAATATAAATAAATAGTACATTATAAGTTACTATAAAACATATCTGTACATATAATAAAATTGTCACAGGCCGATGTATGTACATTCGGGTGGTCCAAAAACCGTAAAGTCGGAATTGAAATGCTCTCACCACCTAGGATTGTTCTATATCGAAAAAAAGTATACCCCTACTTTTTTATTTTGAAATCAAAAAATATTTACAGGTCGCTCAAAGCGCTCAAAATTTTCCATATATTTTTATATGAAAAAAAAACAACTTTTCGCAGAAATGGTATAGAATTCTTAAAAATCGATATTTTTCGATCGGAAAACTCTGGTTCTCCTTTAGGAGACTTTCAATCTCTCCCTCTCCCTCCCAGGAAGGCCTTCGGAAGAGCTTTTAACTGCTGAAATTATCTACAGGGAACATACATACACAATCCGTAGGTGGTAAACAAGTTTGCGGTTTTGAAGTACATACATATATGTATACATTATCTCCATGGCCTGCCCTCCAGTACCTTCACTGGTAGTTTTCGTTTAGACTTTCAATCGCACGCCTTCGCGAAACTTTCTTTGCCTTGGCACCCACTTAATGCAAGTGATTTTGGTTTGGGGTTCCTGTTTTTTACTTACATACATAGTATGTGTTATACATAGGTCTCTTAATGGTGTTCGACGCCATAGTCCAGTTATTTTCATAAGTACTTACGTACGTATATTTTTCGTTGTGCGAAATAAAATGTATTTGCTGTTGTTGCGTGTGTGCATGTGTGAATATTTAGCATTGTCTGCCATAAAGTCTCTCACCAACGAATTTCATTGAGCGACAGCAGACAACGACTCGACGAATTCGCATACATCCTTGACTAAGTATTACTTATTGCTGGAAAATATTGTCCCAGACAAGCTGGCTGGAAGTCGAGGACGCATTGCAAGAATAACAAATAACATAACGATATAAACAAAGTCACATGTGGTAACTAAATTTGGGCATGTTTGGGTTTTGATATCTTCGTAGTGGAACAACGCTATGTAGGCTGCAATTTCGCAGAAATTTGCTGTTAATACACTTTATGATAAAATCCTATTTACTAATCTTTTCTTCTTACTAATATTATAAATGTGAAAGTTTGTATGTTTGTTGCTCTTCCACGCCAAAACAGCTGAACGGATTTCAATCAAATTTGGCACACAAATAGGTTATAACCTGGATTAGCATAAAGGATATTTTTTGAACAGAGTTGCCACCTTTTAAAATACATTAATAAGTCAAATAAAGTGTCACAACACCACCTCCACCTTGTCAAATGAAATTGGCTCCAAATCTATTTATTTCGAAAATATTTTTCAAGGGTGTTGCCACCTGCTGAAAAAGATAAATTACATTTACAAATACGCTTAATAAAATATGTATCACAGCAATGTGGGTGTCAAACAAAAGGTGCTTAATAAATGCGACCTACTTATGTCGATACATTTCTGTAAAAGTGTTGCCACCTGTTCAAAAAGTTACAATTTTAAATAACAAGTTAAATGAAAAATTTTTGTATGGCTATCAAATAAGAGTGGTTTAAGAAAGCTTTATTTCAAAAATATTTTTAAAGGGCGCTGCCACCTGTTCAGAAATCCAAAATTAAGATAAGTCAAAAGTTAATTAAAATATTTCAATATGGGTAGGGGTATGGGTATATTTCAATATGAGGCTCGCCACCAGCTTAGAAATTTAAAATCAATTTAGTTGACAAGTTAAATGAAATCTGACTAATGTTATAAATGTGGAATTTAGTGAGTGAGTGTGTATGTTTCTTACTCTTTCTGACGTAGATTAAGACATAACATATTTTTGGCAAAGGGTTGCCACCTACTTAAAAAGATAAATCATAAGTTCAGCGATTTTTTACAATAAGGGTACCAGACGAACGAGGTAAAAAAGGCTTTATTACGAAAATATTTTAAAGAGGATTGCCACCTATTTAGAAAGTTAAGTTCCATTTTATTAATAACTCAAATGAATTGCCAACGAATATGGTTTAAGAAAGCTTTATTTCGAAAATATTTTGAAGACAGTTGCCACCTGTTTAAAAGTCAAAATCCAGTATTTGATAAATAAAGTATGTATAACAATGTGGATATCAATCGGAGCAGGTGTCAGAAAGATTTTTCAAAAACAGTTCTGTAGGGGGTTGCCACATGTTTGAAAGTAATTAAATTTAATCACTTTTGTAAACATTTTTATACAGACCCTCTAAGCTTAAACTTTTCTATCTTCTGAAGTGATTTTTTGGGAAAAAATATTATTTAAAACAAATTTTTAAAAAAAGCTCGATTTTTAGATGTGGTTTCAAATTGGTCTAGCTCACGTACACAAATATTATTGTTTCGAAATTTTTTACGGGAGTCTCAAAATAGATATATTTTATTAGTTCCGATGGGAAAGCAGTATCGATTTTTTGTATGGAGAGCGATGGGCCCTAATGTATGTATACATATACAAAGTATATTATATGTATGTATTATATTTGGATGAAATTATACCATTATATGTTAAAATAACTAGTACGTTTTTTTTAACAAAATAAAATCAACCCTTCCTTCTCCTTTCAGAATCCCGACAAATGGAAGTACAATCCACCGCCACAAATGAATCCCGCTAATACCACAACCGGTGCACCGCCCGGTAGTGGCGGCACCATCGGCCCCATCGGCATGGGTGCTGGCATTGGTAGTATTGGCACGAATGGTGGCTTACACCCTTCCATGAGTGGACCCTCCCAGATGGGTGTCGGACAGATGGGCGTAGGTGGTGGTAGCGCAGCCGCTGCTGCCGCTGGCATGGCTGCCATGCACACAGCTGCTGTGGCCAAGCACAATCATATGATGTCACAGGTTGTTGCAGCACAACAACAACATCAACAACAGCAGCAGCAACAGCAACAACAGCCGCCACACCCGGCACACCAGCAACCAGGACCACAACAACAGCAGCAGCAACAACAACAGCAAGGACAACAACATGGTGGCGGCGTTGGCGTTGGCCAGCAAATGGCGCTGTCGCACTCACAACAACAGCAACAACACCAACAGCAACAGCAGCAACAACAACAACAGCAGCAGCAGCAGCAGCAGCAACCACATGGACCGCCACATCCCTCTCAAATGGCATCACATCAGCAATTCGGCTCGAATTTACTAAATCATGCCATGAATAATCCAGCTGCTGCTGCAGCAGCTGCCGCCATTGCTGCTAGTATGCAACCGCCGCACATGCAGATGGCAGCTGGCATGCAAGCGGGCAATTGCAGCATGTACGATCATCCCGGCGTGCATCCCGGTGTGGGCATGAACGGTGTACCCAAGCCACCAGGCCCACCGGGACCACCCGGTCCAACTGGTGGACCCGGCGAGTTAGTGTATTTCGGCGGCCAGCCACCAAATGCAGCTGCAGCTGCTGCCGCCGCCGCCATGGGCATGTTGCCGCAAAATCATTTCATGAACAATGCTGCCGCGGCAGCTGCAGCCGCAAATCGCAATGCAGCAGCGGTGAGTAATATTCAAATTTTTTTTTTATTGTTTTTTATTCTATTTACTTCTTACAATTTATGACACTGCATTACATACTTCGAAACTGTTAGATAGTGCGGTTTAGCTTTAGCATAGCAGCAATTATAATTGAACTAGTAACTACGTGTGTGTGTGTGTGCTGTTAGTTTATATATGTAGATAAAACGACATATACTCCACTGTTTTGGTCATACCGGTATTTTGTGAACTTAATTTGCTTTTTTATGTTCTATGATCGATCGCGATAATCGCTGCTGATTTCATTGATTTACGACCACTGTCTTTTGGTTAAGTGCGCCTGTTATGAAAAATAGATGTTGACTCATATGCGCCAATCAGTGGTATTGAATTCACGCTAGTCGATAGGCATATTTGTGCGACTTGGGAGATATTTTTATCGGCTTTAAATGGTTAAACGTTTTTTTTAGCTAATGCCTGACGCGCTGATTATCAAATTATAATATTGAGCCCTAACCGCAAAAAAAAATCGTAAGCGAAATTTTTTCGCGGCTAGAGCTCGGTATGCTTTGAAAAAAAAAAAAAAAAGGAATCCAAAAATAAGAATTAAATATGGACGAGAATGTAGAACATTTTTAACGGTTGAATTCAAATATTTATTCAAAGATAATATAAAAAATTATATAAAAAATTTTCGAACATACTGTGCAAAATTTAATAGCTATAAAATTGCGTATCAAATTTTTTTCTTAAAAGTCTGATTAAAAAATTAATGATCGTAATTAAAGCTGGACACCTACTAGTATATGGAAACAATTTAATTATCTGTTCATTCTTCACTTCTTCGACTTTTTTTTGGAGAGAAAACTTTTGAACCGTAACTATTTTTTATTCAGTCGCCCACGCCTGTTTAAAATCAAAGCTTCCAAAGCTACTTCAAAAAAGGAGCAATGTTGCCCGTTGAGAGTCTCAAAAAATGGGTCATTGACGAAAAAGGCGTCACCATATTATATAAATCTGTAGAATTTAAACAGAAAATAACGGGACAAGCTTTACACAAAACAAATACATATAAATCTAGTTGCTAGTGGAGAAGAATTGCATTTCCATTAGAAGTTTTAAGTGATGCATTTTTTTCGTACTTACCGGAGGAAATATTTTCTATTATCATGGTTCCTAAACAAATCGCTGAAAGAGGGCAAAAGCCGCGCATAATTTTGGAAAAGGGTAAAAAAATCAAAATTTTCAAAAAGTCGGGTCAAAGGGTATTTCCGGTTAAAAAGGGTCAAATTGCCCCTTTAGTCGCACAGCGGCAACACTGAAAAGCAGAAATGTTATCAATTTACGGGAATATTTTTTTTTATGTATGTTACCGGATAACTTTTGCTGAAAAATACTTCTTATGATCTGGATAAGTGTAGGGCTGGGCATATCCGTGTATTCCGATGTCCTTACCGATATTCGTTTATACAGATTCATGAAGAGTAAAGCCTCTTCTACATTAGCCGCCTTCGATTCGCCACTTTTCTGCCAGCTGTGTTTGATTTCCGCTCGCTTGACGAAAAATTTTGCGTGCGAAAGCAACAACAACTAGCAAAGCAACGACGTTTAGTATCCGTTATTTTTTTTTATACGGATATCCGGTTCACATCCGAATATTCAGATTTTTTAATCCGATATTCGATTACTATCCGTGTATTCTGGTATTCATGTATACGGGTGGAATTATTTTCATTTTGTTATCCGGATATCTCGTTCATATTCGATTAATATCTGTTCATTTTGTTATTCGCATATCCGGTTCACATCCGAATATTCAAATTTTTTAATTCGATATTCGAATATTCGGATTATGCTGACGTTCAAATTATCCGAATAGAATTCTCAGCCCTAGTCTAAGTGTGAGGTGTCACATTTTTATACAAAAAAGAGTCGAGTTCGCGAATGAGTATCTTAAATCTTTGCTATATTTTACATTTGTCGCGATCAACACATTCCCCGCGTTAAAAGCTTTTTAAGCTTTCTAAAGATTTCATATCGACGCGCACAGCGAAAAAGCTGTCTCTGGCTGTCGTTGTTTTAGATTATTTATGGACATGGAAAGCTTTTTACCCTGCGCACGCCTGTGATAAATTATAGAAAGCTTCAAAAAGCTGTGCATGCAGGCGACCATCACTGTTTTAGATCAGTCACAACCAGCACATATACCACGGTTGAAACTTTTAAAGTCTACATATATTTAATACGGACGTGCACGTATTAAAATTCTCTCTGGTCGAAACTGTAGGAAATCTATAGAAAGCCTTAAAAAACTTCTACTACAGTATATGTTTTATTCGTGATATAAAGGCGCGCACAGGTTAAAAGCTCTATCTTGTCAATATTGTCTTAAAGCTGTAATAACCACCCCCCGGCGAAGCTTTTTCCAAGCTTTTTATATATTCTTTACACGTGCACAAAGGGCAAAAGCTCGCTTTGCTTATCTATGCTTGAAAGTTTCAGAACAAGCTTGAAAGAAAAAATTTCTTAACATGCAATTTTTATAAATTACTACGATTTCAAAAGATTTATCAAGTTACTAAAATTTCAAATATGGTCAATAATCGCACTTTTAAATTCGGAAAATACTATTACTGCAAGATTATTAATGTATTATAAATATTAATTGCCTGGCTATTCCGCATGCATTACACATTTTGTGTTCCAAAAGTTCTCGCATCTCCGCTTCAATGGGAAATTCTACAAACATTTTTAACGCACAAACGTACAAGTGCATTTACCTAGTAATGAATGCACTTTTATACTATTTTATGTTTTTTCGATAGTAAAACTAAGTATAGAAAAAATGAAAAAAAAAAAATTGCTATTCAAATAATTTGTGAAATTATTGAGGTTTTACATTTTGCCCATTTCTCGTAATTTACTTTATATGTTTGTATATATGTATTCTGTATTTTTGTCTCGCTAAAAGCATTAATTTCAAGTGTGAATAAGAATTTAAACTATTTGCGTTGCGGTTTTAGTGTCAACGGCGGTCCGAATTTTTTATTTTTTTTTTAATTAAACATTCCTGGTAGATATAACTCCAGTCGATGTTATTTGTTTATTAAGCTTATCTGCGCGTACTTTCGAAATTCTTCTCGTTCTAAAAGTTTTGCTTTCATTTGAATAAAATTAGTGCATAAATAATTTAAAAGAGATATTCACAAAAGCTATATCCCTATGGCTTCATGCACAAGCCACATATCTATGAACATACAGTCGGTGTCAAATGTGAGTGTACACCTTTGTTCTAATATAATATTCAGAATTTTCATAAAAATTTTTTTTCATTAATTATCCATGAAAATATAATTCATTCTATAATATAACCCATATAATAAAAATTTCACACTTTATATAAAGTTCGCATAAATTCCAACAATTTTTATCAAAATTTCAAAATTTTTATTTCAAAATTTCTGGAAAATTTTCGAGTATGCAAATGTTTAGCCCGTTCAATTTTAGAATTTTTTTTTGTGGATGCTGTTGCGCATTTTCTTCCTTATAAAAATAGATTCTGATTACGCGTTTTATGGAAGAAAACGCGCAACACCCACCCTCCACAAAAAAAAAAAAATTCTAAAAAAATTAACGGTAATTTCCAGGGATTTGAAACTTGCACTTTTCTCTCAATTCTGAATAAAAATTTTGATGAAACATGTTTGAATTTTTGTGAACTTTATATAAAGTGTGAAACTTTTATGCATATGATTAATGTTACAGAATGATCAACTATTTTCATAAATAATTAATGAAAAAAAAATTTTATGAAAATAATTGTGAATATTATATTAGAACAAGGTGTCCACTTACATTTGACACCGACTGTATCTCCATAGCTAAATGCATTTTCCTGCATAAATATATTTCATGAATAAGCAAAGCAAGTAGAACCTAAGCTTAGCTTCTGACACTTGTAGTATCGCTTAACCAAATTTTTTTATGACCGAATGTATAATTACAATTTTACGGTGATCTTTCCACGGTCACTGGGAAATTAACTGGTACATGCATATGTATGTACATTGAATCATATTTATTCCCTCTTTGAGCTTATACATAAACTAAACAAAAAGAGGAAAAACGATGTTCTTGGAGAAGCGGTTTCTTTTTTTTTAAATCAATTAAACGTTGTAGAAATTTCTATATAATATAATACTACTTTTTTGCAAAGGTCAGTTCGCGGCGAAAAATGGTTGCTACCTCTATAGTTCCTGCAAAAATCACGACGCCAGGCTTTCCATCTGTCTTAGTGCTTTCAAGCCGGAGAGATTGTATGAATTGATTGATTGAATGATTGTAAGTCAGTGAAAACTGGAGGTCACACGAATCGCCTGAAATTTAAGGCGTAAGTCGGTATTTTTCGGAGTAGGTCGATATTTTTTCCGAGGATTTCAGTATTTTTCAGAGTATTTCTACATTTGTTGGAGTAATTCGGTACTTTTTGGGAGTAATTCGGTTATTTTGTCGGAGAAGTACAGTTTTCCCCGTGATAAGTTGGTATTTTTTGGGAGTATTATTTCCATGTTTTCCATAGTAAGTCGATATTTTTTGAAAGTAATTCGGATATTTTTTCGGAGTAGTACAGTATTCCCCATAGTAGCCGGCGTTTTTTTTTGATAAATTCCATCTTTTCCCCGGATAAATTAGGTATTTTCGGTGTGATACGATATTTTTTCGGAGTACTTCACATTTTTGAGTAATACGGTTTTTTGTAGAGAGTAATTTGGTATTTTTCGGAGTAGTTCGATATATTCCGGGGTATTTAGTTTTTTATACCCGAGCGCACTTGTGCACAAGGGTATTATAACTTTGTTCACATAACGGTTGTTTGTAACAGGCAAAACGAATCGAGATAGATATAGACAAATGTATACATAAATGATCAGGATGAAAAGAGAAATCGATTAAGCGGTGACTGTCTGTCCGTCCGTCCGTCCGTCCGTCCGTCCGTCCGTCCGTCCGTCTGTCCGTCTGTG